AGAGATGTGTCTAGAAGTCAACTCTATTGGTTAGTACTCTTCTGCAAGGTGGCAAACCAACCAGGCACCTGCCATTGAAATACTGGGATTTACTTAAAACAGGGAGTATATACAATGAGTGTGCACTGCATGAATTACTTAGTTTGGCTTCAAGTAACAAGACGTTGGTAAAAAGTGGCTTAAGCAATAAAGATTTACTGTTTCATATAACATGAAGTCCATAAGTAGGTGGGTTCCAAATCCAGTTAACTCAGTAGCTCAGCAATTTCAGGATTCTGGGTCAGCTCTCCTTCGACTTTGGTGGCTTTCTCCTTCTGGTTATCACTGCCTCACACAAGAACTTCTGAAGGCAGGAATGGGAGGGCATTCCCCCCTCATCCCATCTCTCTTTTTTCCAGGGATTCAAATCTTTCCCAGAATTGAATTTCCCTAGCAGACATCTTCCTACATTTTATTGGCTACTCTGTGACAGTTCAGTGTAAGGGAAAATAGGGTTAAAAAAAAAACAAACTATAGTCAAAAGAACAAACCAGAGCCACCCCTAAACTAAGAACAGAGAGAGGGATTTCCATTATTTCCCTAGACCAACAGTGTCCAGTAGAATTTAATGTGAGCCACAATGCAAGATCAGACACACACACACATATATCTATCTCCTGAATATCCATATATATTCCTGAGTCGACTTTAGAAAGCTGAAAACAAGTCTTCATTTTCTCTTTCATGAATGAGCTACAACATTGATAAGCAAAATTGCTTCCCATGAGCATAATTAGAAGTGCCAAGGGTACATCTGGTAGGATTCCAACAAAGGCACCTTAGTTATGGAACTTGGACTTTGAGTTCCTGAGTTATGGTTTTAGATATGATTCTGACTATCTGTGTGGTCTTAATGAAGTCCCTTGGCTTATCTGGGCTTATCTATCCCAGCTTCCTCATCTTAAGACAGGTGGTTCTTTAAAATGTCCTTTGAATTCTCGCACTATAGGATTTTATATTGCTGTTCAACTTCGGACTTTCCCAGCCCCTTATCTGACACCAGCCAGTCGGGCCAGTGACACATGAAAAGTTATTCAGAAGGGTACTTTCTCCGATGCCACGGGGCAAAATGTACTTTCAGAGGGAAAGAAAGAAGCAAGCCATAGTGGCCTGTCATTCATTTACTCAGTAAGTATTTATTACAGGACACCCACTATGTGCCATAGTGACTCTAGAGTGAATAAGAGAGAATGAGAAGTAGTCTCTGCTGACAGTGAGCTTACTGTCTAGTGGGAACGTAATATAGATAAGTAGATACACAATTGCATAATGTGCAAAGAAGCCTAGGACAGAGGAAGATGAGGCCGTTCCTTGGAGCACCGAGCCCCACTGAGGGGAGGTGACAGAACCTCCCTGGAGGAAGTGATACCCAAGCGAGGCCAGGCAGAAAAGGACTTGGTTGGCCCTCCTGCTACTGTGGGAAATTGCCTGGCCTACAAGCCATCTCACCCTACAATGTATCCGCTTTTCTTCTTTTCTCTGACATAGTGTTTTTCTATTCCTTTCTTCAATGGATTTGCCCATATGTGCATATGACTGGGATCAGGTGAGAGGGCCGCAGAGAAACTCTTGCAGCAAACCTAAGGTAGAAACCTAAGTAGGTTGTAAAATTATTACAAGTTCCTCTCATCCTCATGTGCACATCCCTTGCCATATGACTGTGCCACTCTTATTAAGGAGAGTCTAAAAGAAAAAAAAAAAAAGGAGAGTCTAGGGGCACCTGGGTGGCTCAGTTGGTTGTGTCTGACTCGGTTTTGGCGCAGGTCATGATCTTAGGGTCGTGAGATCGAGTCCCACATCAAGCTCTGTGCTGGACCTGAAATCTGCTTAAGATTCTCTCCCTCTCCCTCTGCCCCTCCCTCTCTACTTGCTTTCTCTCTTAAAATAGAAAAAGAAAAAAGGAGAGTCTATTTCCCCACTCCTTGACTCTTGACTCAGGGTTAGACATGTGATTTTAGCTAATGGGATATTAACAAATGTGACGCAAACAGAGGCTTGAAAAATGCATGCACTTTGGGGTTTGCCCTCTCCTGCTGAATTGGGAACACTGCCGCCATCGCCATATGATCTAACCTGGGCTGGCCTGCTGGAGGATAACAGACCATGTGGAGCAGAGATGAGCTAGTCCAGCTCAGGCCCTAGTAGATCAACCAGCCCACCAATCACCAAGTATATTAGAGACCATCCTAGACCATCCAGCCTCAGCTGAGCTGCCCAAAGCCAAAAGAGCCACTCAGTCAACAGACCAGAGACTCATGAGAAATAATAAAATGTTTATTGTTTTAAGCCACAAAATTTTTTGGTTGTCTGTTATACAACAGAAGCTAACTGATACAGGAACCATATACTACTGCGTTTTGCTTTCCTCTTTTCTCTTTATCTCTCTTTATCCATTCCAAAAAACTTGGTGAAATGGTTTATTAGAGACCAAGTTGCCACAAACATAGGATTTTTCATTTTTTCCAATTCTAAAAGCTCTGATTTTTTTTTTAATTCTCTTTCATTATTAAGCTTCCTTTCTCAGTTATGGTCTTCACAGAAGAAAGGGGGTGGAGAATAAAGGTAAGAAAAATGAGGCATGATGCTAAGAGTGAGGAAGTGGGAGATGTGAATTATGGTGGCTATGGTGGGATGGATGGCGACGTCAAAAAGAGGGGTCGCTACAACTCAAGCAGTGTTGATTAACTTCCTGGGTGAAGTTTGTTCTATAAAATCAGAATCTCTATGAAACTCCCTGGCATTGACCCCAGATGTCCCTATGTTAAATTGCAAACACACATTCTCAAATTCCCCTTCTGTTCCATTCCTTAGTTCCTCTCAATGTTTTTCACTATCCAAAATATGGCTTTTTCTATTTTGGTAGTTAGAATTCTTTTGGCCATAAGTGACAGAAGCCCAATTTGATCTTAAAAGTCCAGATCGTCCTCAAGCTTCAGCCAAGATCGAATCCAGTTGCTCAAATGATGTCCCCAGGGAACTATCTGTCTCTAGATTCTGCTCTCCTCTGTGCTGGCCTCACTGTATCCCTAAATCCCTGACCTATTTTGTAGGTCCCAAAGTTGAGTGGTGGCAACTGTCAGTTGTGTCTCTCCATCTTGGGGGACCAAACCCTCTTCCCCTTCCCCACCTGTTACCCTAATTACATTAAAGGCACTAAGATTAATCCAATTTCCCAATACAGAGTGTTGGGACAGGAGACTGGGAATTGGTATATTTCCTCCCCAAGAGGCATAGGGCTCCTCATGCAAACTGCTGTACCCAGTGACAAGTTCTGCCTACCTGGGGTCTCAGAAAGGGGCCTTGATCAGTCATAAAAGATTCTTTGATGAAGAGGTCAAAAACACAAATGCTTATAGGAGCCAGAAGCCTGACAGACAAGGCAGTGGCCCCCCAAAACAATCACTACCAGGCAGGACTTTGGCACTCACAGTTGCCGCATCTTTGGAGTTTTTTCAGGAGCCAAAAATCTTGATTTTTTTGTGAAATATTCTGATTTTAAACTATTAGCTTGATTTTTTTTTTTTTTTTTAAGCAGGCAAAACAAAACTTGTCTGGGGCTTTATCTGGCCCAGGGGCTATCAGTTTGTGAATGTGGTTTTATGGCCTAAATCCTAAAACAATGAATGTCCACTTGCCCACATTTGCATAACTATGGCACCACTGGAAAGAAGTGGGACTGACAAAGATCAGTGGCGAAGCAGCTACAAAGGTACCATGACTTCAGGATAGTTGAAGGTCCTTTAGCATGGCCTATATGGCCTCCCTGACCTGGTTCCTAGCCTTCTCTAGGGCTTGTGACTTCCACACTCCCCCACACAGTTTCACACCTCAAGGCCTTTGTGTTCACTGGGCTATTCCAGAGGCCCTTCTCCTAGTTATCTAACCAACACTCTCACCCTGCTTCAAGATCCAGCTCAAACACCCCTTCCTCCAAAGCCTTCCTTTCCTGGAGCTCTGCTTTCTCTACCGGCTTATTCCGTGTTTTAGAGGGGTACCCCATTGCCCTAAAGTTTTCTTTACAGGCCTCTTGCCCCACCCGACCTAACCCCTAGAGGGCAGGAACCTAGGTTCATTCACGTCTGCATCCCCATTGCCTCCCAGAGTACCCACACTTTGAGTGGAGTTTGGAGGAATGGGCATGCAATTTGAAAAATAAGGAACCTATTTATTGCCTTTCACACGCCAGAAACCCGTTGGCAAAGAACTGGTAATTTTTATTTTGAGAAAATAAGTTGAAACTTGTTTAAGAGAAGGGGGAAAACCCTCTGCATACTTTCATTTTTAAAATGACCACATACTTGCGAAATATTTGTTGCAAAGTGTAAGTTTTTATACTTCCTCCGCTTTGGACATAGCTGAGTCTTCTAAGAGTTCTAGAACTAGAGAATGGCTAAACTGACGCGTTGCACTAGCCTTTCTCCCGAACCTCAAAGATCCCCAGGGCTCTTACAGTCGGGGATGTTTGCTGCCTCAAAGGGAAGAGAGAACCAGCTCTTGCGAATGAAACAGCACTTCAAAAGAGGCAGCGGCCTACGTAGGGAGAGGGAGCAGCCACGGTCGAAAGACCCTTTGAATAACCCGCTCTGAAATTGACTGAGGCTGGTAGAGGTGTAAACTGAAACTCCAGAGGCTAACCCTAAGCGGTTACATTTTCTCCACCAGAAGGTTTCCCAGCCCTGTCACTCACTCCTGCTGGCTTTCTCTCCCTCCCCAACGCACGCGCGCGCGCGCACACACACACACACACACACACACATTTTGGTGGACTGCTGCACTTGACATTGATTCTGTCTCCTACCTGAAGTGGGGCCCTCAGAAAGCAGCGAGGTTGGCGTTTCATTCATAATATATGACCTCAAGGGAGGAGGGAGGCAGGGACAAGAGCCTTTCATCTCTGCTACTTAAAATCCCAGCAGCGCAGCAGAAAGGGAAAATGAGCTGGGAGTGAGCTGCATCGGGGCATGAAGTATGGCACGATAACGGTACGAGCGAGCGCGTCAGCGGCCCGCCCGCCGGCTATTTATACCATTGTAGATTATGCAATCTGGCTCCAGCCATTCATGCCCCGACTGGGACGCCCCGCGCCGGGGGAAGGGGGCGGGGGGCACCATTCCCGGGCGCCGGGTCAGTTTCTAAGTTTGCATCATCCCCTTTATTACGAGAGCTTGGGTTTCCATTCCTGCCGGCTGGTCTTGGGAGAGACAGCTGGGCTACAAACTCACTTGGCACGCACTGGCACACACGACCGCTTACTTAAACATAATAAAGGCACCGGGACGCCGAGGCGCTGCCGAGCAGCTCGCAGGGCTGGGCTCCGGGCAGACCGGAAGGAACTGATAAAGCGAGCGCTAATGATACCCGCTCCCTCCCCCGTCGGAAGTGTCCTCCGAGCGCCGGTCATTGAGAAATACCGAAGGGGCAGAATGGGGGTGAGGTGAGGACAGGCCTGGGCCGCAGCTGCGCGCGCCTTGCGGAGCGGGGAGCGAGGGCGCCGCGGCAATGGGGGATTCGGCCGGCCGGGCCGCACGAATCTGAGGGCACAGCTGGGTCCTCCCCAAATCACCCCAGCTGGGCGCGCGCCCCTCTTGGGGCTGCGGGGGGAGAGTGATTTATCAGATCCCACTTCCAAACCCACCCCGGGGAGATATACACTCGTGGCCCCTACCGGACCCAAATAAGGTGGGGGGACGCAGAGAAGGGGCGAAGGACACGAAAGAGAGCCGGTTGCCGAGAAAGATAAAATGTCCTCTTCTCCCGGCGCCCGTGCGGGGCGGTAGGGAGCGGGGGCCGCGGCCGGCTTCCGAGTGAAACCAGACCTGCGGGTCTACTGAGCATGCCCGTTCCGTGGCCGCCGAGGGTCGCTCCGGTTCCGCGCTCCGGGCTTTCCAGGCGGCTGGCGGAAGGACCCGGGTGGGGGTGCTTCCCCGCCCCCGACTCTGGCTTGAGGGGTGGGTAGGCGGGGGTCCTGCTGGGGGCTCAGCTGGGTGTGGGTGAAGTTGTGAGAAGATCGACTCTACTTTTGAAGCTGTACGATCTCACTCTGAGTCGACACCCTTGACTCGATCGTGTTCAGAGCTGCCCGCCCCCTGTTTTGCTGGTTGTGGGGGAGAGACACGGATGTGGGTATTTAGCTCTTTCAGTAATGTCATTAAATTAAAGCCCTAAATCCGTGATACCCGCTATTCTGGTAACAATTTAGTAGACTTTGATAATGCCCTGATATTCAGATCAATAAACATATCTGAGTTATTCGCCCAATATCGACATTTATTCTATGGAGCTGCAGGAGTCGCAGTAATTGATGGGGAAGACCAAAAGGTGACCTACTAAGAACATTTCCATTAAAAAGCCCCTTTTGGGTGATGAACGAGGCAGAAGAGAACTGGAAGGATTTCTTTTAAAGAACATGATGGAACGTAAGTGAAGAAGGGTGGCATTTAGTAATACAATTGGCTAAAGAGGAGAAAGGATTGCCATTCATCTAGCTGCAGCGCGCTGCCTAACACAGTACGTTCACCGTAGCCATTTATTCTTCCCAGCAGCCCTATGTTGTGGGTAGTATCCTGACACTACAGGTGTTTTACCCAAGGCTCAGAGAACCTAAGGACCTGCTGGAATTTGGCATCAGGACATCCAAGTGGGGAGCTGGTGACTCCTGGACTTTAGAATGTTTTCCTTTGCTCCTTTAGCTGCCTGGTCTGCCGTCTGGGCCAGTCATTCACTGCTATTAGCTGGGAGCTGGATGAATGAGTGGTGATGACACCGATTCACTTGCCTGCCTGCAGAAACTAATAATCAACTTACCTGCCACCTTGCCATTTGGGCACACTGAAACTGGAGGGTGGAGCCATAGAGATGCCCATTGGGTGGAAAATTTTGACATGGACAAATATCTGTTCCTGGAAGTTCAGGAATGACTGAGTGGGATCTCTTTCAGCACCTCCAGGAGAAAAGCAATGACCAAAGGTGAGAACTGGATAGATGCCTTCGCCTTATGGGGATTTAGAGAACAATGAGATGCTCCTTTGTTCACTGCTTTCTCAGAGACTCTCAGTGGCCTCAAAACCTGAGAAAGACAAGATTGTCCTTGTTATCTCTGTTTTATAAAGAAACTGAAGGACTGCTAAAAGTCTCACTCAAGGTCTCAGGCCTGCTAGGAAAAAAACAAACCAGGTGTTTCTCCCTTGTCTAGTTCCCTTTTCAGCACTACACACCAGCACTCAGCATCAAAGGTGGGTGAACCCCAATCCATGTCCACAAAGACCATGGTTGTGATAGGCATGAAGCCTAGGGTAAACCACTAGTTTCTCCTTGACTCAAGGTGGTACTGTCACTATCTTTGAAACACTCCTGGCTCTCCAAATGCATACATATACCCTTTAGGTATACTACATTTGAGGCATATATTTAATTTCTTAATTTGTTCAGTGGCTGCTATTTGGTTAAAATCTCAGCATGTTCTCTTGGCACATTCAGTAGGGTGGAAAAATGTACTGTGCTTGGAGAGCAGGAAGGGGCAGGGACTCTACCTCTTGCTCTTTCAAGACCCCCCGAAGGAAATACTGAATAGCTATGTAATTTGTGGGACCCACTGCAAGTAAAAGTGTGGAGCCCCTTGTTCCAACACTATAAAAAATCTCAAATCTGCAACAGCAGAACATCAAACCAAGTAAAGATCCCTGTGCAACTGCACAGGTTGCATGCCAAGGAAGCCAGCCTTACCCATTGCCCAGACAGCGCTGCTTTGGAGAGTATGGGCCCACTTAGCCCCGCGGTCCAGGGGCCAAAACAAGAAAAATCATTTAAAGACAAGCTGGGGGGGGGGGGGATCCAGAAGCTCTCTATCTCCTCATCTGTGCAAAAGCCCACTGGGCTGGTAACCTCTGGCCCAATAACTATGGCCTTCAAGGGCCTGGGACAAGGGCCATCCTCCAACATGAGAGAGGTTTACTAAATAATTTTTGAAATGTATTTCGGTTTACCTTTTAATCCGAAGAAGTCCATCATTTCTACTGAAATGCAAACGTTTCTGGGCTGTGTTGGATTTGCCTTTTTTAATGTACAATAGTGATTCCTCAAAAATGCCCCCTCCACAACAAGACAAAACAGATCACAAGATTCATAAGCAATTGAAAAGCCTCTGCCATTCAGAACCTTGGCAAAACACCTGTGCCGTCCCCACCCTCCCGCTGCACTGTGGAGGGTAGTTGGGTCCTCTAAGCCCAAACCACCCCTCTGGGCCTCCCCTCAATTCAGCGTCTCCGCCCCCGCCCCCCACCATTTTTAATCCAGGGGTTTGGATGGAAGGAGGGAACCAAACTGGAGCCAGATGTGTGCGAGTCCCCGGCTCCTGCCTCCTCCCTCCTCTCCGGCTTCTTAAAACCCGGAGCGTTGGCGAAAAAGGATCAGGAGCCAGACAGACGCCGCACAAACAACTCCGTTCCGAGGCTCCTCCGGGAGTGGAAGCCAGGAGGGAGGAGGAAAGGAAGCCGAGCATGCTCAGTAGGCGGGACAAAGTTTTTTTTTTTTCTCCCTTTTTTTTTTTTTTCTTTCGGTCGCAAGTAGGAAGCTTTTTGCACTCCACCACCTCTGGCCGCTGGGAAGACGTCATCGCTTCCGCCCTACTTCCTCCTCCTGTTGGCGGCGGTGAGAATCCAATATGGAGTAAATCGGTGGAGTCGAGAGATGGGGCTCGGACGGGGCGCCCTGCACCGCCTCCCAGGCGCACCTCCCCCGGCCGCCGACCGCTCCCCGGAACCGTGATTGGCCAGGCCCCCGGGGGCGACCCCGGACCGAGCCCCCACCCGCGGCTGGCCCTCCTCTCCTCCTCCTCTGAGCAGTCCCCGCCGCTCCACGGCGCGCTTGTTTTTCTCCTCGTCTCCCCCACCGCCGTCCCCTGCCCAAATCTCTCCCCCTCTGCTCGCTGCCGAGCCCCCGGAGCCCCTCCTGCCGAGCCCCGGGCGCTGCGGGGCTCACTCCTCCCGCAGCTTGCCTTTGCACCCCTTCCCCAAACCTCACCCCGCGCTCCTATCGCCTGCTTCCCCTTCTGCCTTCTGCGGCGCCCCTTCATCTCTCGCCGCTCCCCCTCCCCAACCAAATCAGGCGATCTCCGGAGATGTGAAGAAGGAGGGTGAGCGGACAGGAAGATGAAGGGAGCAAAGCTGCCCGCCGCGGGACAGGCGTCTAGGTGAACAGGAAAATGACCGAAGAAACACACCCGGACGAGTAAGTTTGGCCGCGGGGTGGGACAAGGGTGCCCCGCGGGGGCAGCGTGGGGGACGGGGCTGAGGACGCAGGCGGGGACGCTGCTTGGGTGAACTTGGCGTGGGGTGCAGCTACTAGCCGGCCTGTGGGCTTTGGGATGCGAGATCCACCCCCCCCTTGTTGTTGAAGTGAGGAGGGGGCAAAGACTGCTGAGGGCCGGCGGGGGCGCGCCTTGAGTCGGCGGGCTGGTGGCCGCGGCGGGGGCCAAGGGCGCGCGGGTGACCTCGGGGCGGTCCCCGCTCCTTCTCCGGGGACTCACAAACACTCCCTCCCCCCCGAAATCTTCCGCGGCCGGAGCGAAAGACCTGACACCCCCGCTCCGGCTTCCTGGGGTCGGTGCGTTTTCACATAGTGACTTTGTGACTCCTGCCCCGCCGCTCGCCCCCCGGTCCCTTAGGGAGCCCACTGGGGCCCAGGCTCCGCCATTTCGTTTTCTTGAATCGCTCTCATTTGCATACCACATTTTCATTCATAAAAAACACGGCGGAGCGAGGGGAGGACTGGGCGCGGGCTGCGCGGGGGTCTGCGTGAGCCGGGATCCCCAGGCAGGTCGCCGTGCGGGAGCCGCCGGAGGGGTCCCGCGGCGCGTGTGAGCGTGTGTGCACGCGCTTTTGGGCTCGGGATAGGCGCCCCGCGGGATCGGGGCCGCTCGGGGGCGGATCCGAGTCGTGTGCTGCGGGGGCGGGCGGGAGCGTGCGGGGCAATGTGCTGCGGGCGTGTGTGTGTGTGCGGGCCAGTGTGTGTGTGTGTGCGGGGCAATGTGCTGCGGGCCAGTGTGTGTGTGTGTGTGTATCTGTGTGTATGTGTGTGTGTGCGGGCCAGTGTGCGAGTTTGTGTGTGCGCGTGCACAGGCATGCGTGCCCGGCCCGCGGGCCCGAGGGGAACAATGCTCGGGGCGCTCGGCTGGAGGGGCTCCGGGGCTGACCCGCCGCCCTCCGCGGGATCGGTGCCGTTTTCCAGCCCGGGTGCAAGGTGAGGCTCACTCCAGCCTCGCGGTCTCGGAATCGGGTTTGGCTTTCTCTCACCCCCGCCCGAGGCGTTTCCAGTCAGGGGAGAAGCGGAGGCAGGGCTCCTGGGCCCGGCGCCTGAGGTCGTCGGCTTCGGGTTCGAGAGGTCACCGCACGGCGGCCGACGCCGCTGCTCAGTGGCTGTGCCCGCCACCAGCCACTTTTTTTTTTTTTTTGTGAATAAGACGCTCTCCTTTATTGTCACATGATATCCCTCCCCTCCTCCCCTGCACATTCATAAATCCGGAGCCTGCTTCGGCTCCTTTCATTCAGAGCTGCCATTAGCTAAGGTAGCAGTGGCGCTGGCTTGGGCGCAAAGAGCGGGTTGGTAGTCGCTGGGACGCACCCTGGGGGAAGGCCCAGAGAGCGTGTCTGAGGGGTCGTGGGGGCTGCGAGTATCTGCTCGCGAGGCCCGGGGTCTCTTGCCCCTGTGAGCATTGACAAGTCAGTGCAGAGAGGGGAAGTGACTCAGGGCTGGGTGACGGGGAGGGCTTTTCTTGCAGCAGGTGACAGAATGCTGTACTCTACTCTTAAGAATCTACTTCACTTTTTTTTTTTTTTTTTTAATGCCCCTTTATCCTTTGGCGTCTGCTGTTGCCAGGCTGGGCGGGAGAGGGTGTTGAGAGGGTCGGTGTTTGGGAAAGGGAATTTCCTTCCTGTGGTCCCCAGGGATCTTTGACTGCAGTAACCCCTGGTCTGCCAGACACCCGCAGCTGGAGAGCATGCCTCCTGGTGTGCATGTCGCTGTGGTCCCACCACCTGTGCTGGTCTTTTTAAACATTTTGCTTTGCCTTCATAGAGTGTATCTTGAAATGATAAAATGAAAAAAAAAGTTGCTCTTTTGGGGAAGAAATATGCTTCTGGGCCTTGCCCCCATTCGGACTTGACTAATAGACAAGTGGTTTTATAGGTCCTCCCTTGTCCTTGCACACACAAATAGCAGGGTAGCAGGGAGGGACGGTTGCCTTGCTCTGGACTTGGGGATTCTTGTTGGAGATTGGTTCCACTCGCCCTGCATTGGGTTCCTTGGCTCCATCCCTTGGGAATACTGGCCTGGCCGCTCCCTTTTCACCCGTAGCATGTCAGCTTTGCATCCTACTCCATCTGATACCCAAAGCAAAAGGATTTGGGGTGGAATCACCAGCAAGAAATGTGACTATGTCTACTTCATGCTTTCAGAGCAGTTCAGCATGGAACTGGCCATCCCGACTGCTGTTAGAAGCCCAGTTGAGACAATGGGTATTTGAGGACAGGTTCTGGTTTCAGTTAGAGAATCAGAAAGCTGTGGGGCCTTAGCCCAGTGCAGAAATGGTCTTCCCGGGATGACTTTTAATGTAATGACCTTGGCATGAGACATGAAATGTAAGCCCGTAAGAACATGGACTGCATGGGCTGTAAACTGCCATTTGTGGACACTGTCCGTTATATTATTCAAGTTCTTATGTAATGACCCATCTGAAAAATTCCTTTTAAATGTTAATGCTTGGAAGAAGGTTTCTCTCTGGGTTGCAGAGCTTGCTGTGATTGCCTTTTTGTTGATGGGGTTTTTTGCAACCACTGTCTGGAAGGTAAAATTATTGCTTGATTACAGTAGTCATGGTTAGCCTAGCTTTTTGCTAGATTTATTTACCCCTCCTCTAGTATGAATTTTGATCTTTTATTTTCTTTTCTAATGGCTTTATGTTTGAAGTCCTATAGATACCTTTTGGAAGTAGGCAAGGTGTGTTAAAAATAAAGCAATTTGGTGACCTCAAATTGGGGACCTACGGGGGGAGTAGTTATACCTTAGGTAGAATAGATTTTCTTGATAGTCCATATTTAAGGCTTTTATTAAACGGTACAGATATATAATTAATATGCTTAGCATCAGAGTACAGTAAGTCAGAATCTTGCAATGGGCAAAATTGTGCCTAATTTTAAAAAATAACAAATGTTTGTCTTCTCATGCTCTTTTCCATGTCGATTTAAAACTTCTCTAATAAGTATATGATAGTTCAGGAAAGCTTGTCTGCTCTTTTTGCTGACCTAAAAAATAGCTTCTATACAGAAAATACTCTGACCCTTCTCTGATCCCACTCCAGCTACAAATGCATGTTAAGATTTACAATTCTACAGATTTTTTTTATATAATTTAAAAGTAAAAAGCATCAACAAACTATTGAAAATTATCTTTTGTACGTAAGAGTGGAAAAAATTTTTTTGATCGTATGCGTTTTGTCTGTATCTTTAAAGCATTTGATTATGGTCATGAATGATTTGGAAATTTGTTGACAAAATGAAGAAATCCTTCTCAAGTGAGCTTAACACAGGAGAAATGGGCCTACCATTTAGCTATTCTGTTCCTCTCATATACTCTCCTCGGCAACACATATCTTGCTGAGAATGGACTTGTAAGCTTTGTCCTTAGTCATGTTTTTCCTAATGTTGAAAGGTCTTCCATTAAAAAAAAAAAAACTTAAATATTTTTACTGAGCCATTTCAAAGAAATTAGACATCAGAATTTCTTATATCTAAATACTTGAGTTTACTTCCCAAAAGATGAGAATATTCTTCCATGAAACCATAATACCATCATCACACTTTACAAAATTAAGAGTCATTCCCCGTTGTCTTTGACATTCAGCCCAATTGACTGAAAAATGTCTTTTACAACTGTCATTTCAGCCAGGTGCCAATTAAAGATCCTGAGTTAAATGCATTTAACTTAAACTTAAGGCTCAAGGCTCAGCCATTTGCTCACTTTCTGATCTAAGGCAAGTTACTTACCTTTCACCTTGGTTTAATCTGAATGAATAAAATGGGAGTGAATTTTAGCAATTTCATGGAGTTGCTGTGAAAATTATATGATATATCCTATGTAAAGCTTACCGTTGAGCACCAAGCATAAATCAGGTGTCTGGTGTTGGCTCTTAGCAGGGCACCGGGATAGGTTTCTTAGAGGCTCAGCTTATTAATTTTCAAATAATCCTATGAAGGAGTTATCCCATTTGTTTTGTTATTTTTTAAAAGATTTTATTCATTCATTCATTCATTCATTCATTCATTATTTAGAGTGCACACGCAAGAGTGGTGGGGAGGGGCTGAGGGAGAGATTCTCAAGCAGACTCCCCGCTGAGTGCAGAGCTGGATGTGGTGTGGGCTGATCCCACCACCCTGAAATCATGACTTGAGTTGAAATCAAGAGTCAGAGGCTTAACTGACTGAGCCACCCAGGTGCCCCGGAGTTACCCTATTTAACTGATGAGGCAGCTTAAGTAAAGTTGCTTGCCTAAGACAGCAAACATTTTTTTTATAGCATTTTAATTAGTCTTCTCAGTAGTCCTCTGAGGTAGATAGGGTATTATTACCTCCATTTATAGAGGGGGAAACTGAGGTCCAAAGAAGATGAATAACTTGTCCAAGGTCATATCATTAGTAAATGAAGGAGCTAGGCTTTGACTCCAGCCGCCTGGCCCAGGAAGGACCGTTTTTAACCACTGTGAGGTACCTTCTCAGGAGAGGACAGGCTGGCCAGCCTTCGTCATTCTGACTTCCAAGCTCACACTTTCTGTCAGTCATGCTGTCCTTCATTCTTCTGAATTGGCGACAGTCTGTCATTGCCATAATTTTTTCCGCTTCCTTTATCTTCCCTGAAATTGCTGAGGCACATACCGAATTAAAGTGAATTTAAATAAACCTGGGCTTGAGAATTCTGTGATACACCTTAAGATAATAGGAGTGTGAATTCAAGAGTTGGTTATTGCTGGATGGTAGCTGTACGTTCATTGAAATAACGGTTGTAGAAATTAGACCTGGTACAACAAACATTGATCCAGTTTCTTTGCATTAGCCTTTAAAAAGAGATGTTTCTACTCCATAGGAATAGAATCCTTAAATGTTAAAAACATGGAGTTGGCTATGCAGAATTGGAATCTTGGTCCATTCCTCAGAAGATGTTGAAAGCAAGACAAAACA